TTGCCGATGATGCTCACGGAGAGGGGGTAGGGATTGTAGGAGAGAAGTCGTGTGAGGATTATTCCAAGATGCGTTAAGCCATTCCCTTCAGTGCAACAAGCAATGGGGTTGGTTCCTTCCCAGCTGAAGGAAGACGAGGACGAGCTCAGTCATGTCGGTGGTGAAGAGGCCAGCATGCGCAGCCAGTTTGCCGATGATGTTTACGGAGAGGGGGCAGGGATTGTAGCGTAGCACAGTGCAACAAGCAATAGAGGGCCAGATTGCGGACATAGGGCGGTCTCCTCTGAGCTACAGGAAGATGAGGACAAGCTCACCCATGCTGACGGTGAAGAGGACAGCATCCTCGGCTGGGGACTGGATTGTAGCGCAGTAGCATTTCTTGGTTGGAAGTCATGGAGACTGCTGCAGGGTCCGTTTTTTCATTAATTATTCCCCCCAATGCAGTGCCAGATTGTGGTAGGGGGGTCGGTCTGTCCTCCGTGAGGAAGATGAGGATGAGCACAGCGATGATGATGAGGAGGAAGACAAAATGCTCAACAAGCCTGCCGATGATGACTCCACGGAAGTCGCGGAGGTAGCCCCCATGTACCTGCAGGTGGGAGGGCATGCATGGCTGAGGAATGTGAAAAAGACAAGGGTATCTGTATAAGTAGTGGGTCATGTGGGAAGAAAAATATATACAACCCTAGTTCGAGGTACTTATACCCCCATCCAAACTCCGCCATTAACTTCAAATTGCAACAATATCCCTGTATCATCTTGCTCTCCATCTGACCTTGCCTACTGTAAATTACCCAGAGGCCTCAAGTATTGGGATTGGGGTTTGGGCTTGAGAATGGCTGCCACAGGATCCCGAATGTCGTACATCTTCTGACAGAATTACATGAATCGCTTCTTTCTCCTCCTTACTCGCCCTAAACTCGAAGCATTTTCGTTTTCCTACTTTTGGGCATGAGAAAATGGGATGCAGCAATCTAAATCAGATAAGCAAAGTCCGAAGCCTCACACACATACTGGCCCCTAGCCTCTGAGCCCTGAGCGCCCAAGGCCCAAATCCCTTTCCATGAAACCGTGACCCCTAAACCCTTTTTTTTTGGGAACTCCAACGTCGTGGCCTTCCTTGCAGACCAGTAACGCCTACAAGCCATGAAATAGCCCACTTTTCCCCGTTTTGAAGGTGTCCGAGGGCGACGAGTTCGAGTCCGAGTCCGCAATGGAAAGTGGAATTGTCCAAATAGGGTTCCCAGAAATAAGACGGCCTGTGTTAAAGGTCCAGATATTCAGGATTACAGCAGTTCAGGTTGTAAGGTTGCAGGGTTGCAGCTGTAGGGACCTTCTTTACGCCAATCCTGAACCTGGGCCTTAAGCTCAGCCCAACGATCTGTTGTAGGTGGCCGCAGGCGCCGCCGCAGGCGACGCCGTCGCAGAAGGATACCCCATGGGTGGCCACGGGAGGGTCTGCTATCTCAAAAGTTGTGCTCCAGATGCTCCCAAGTCTGATCCGCATTTTGGGGTCTCCCAAGAAAAGGGACCTTTAAATCTTGGAGGCCGACATGACTATATGATGAGACCCCGAACCTCTGGACAGAAGACCTTGCAGGTGATTTGTGTTCCCCATGCTCTAATCCCCTTCAAGCTGCCTTTCTGGTGCAGGAGAAGGAGAAGAAGGAGAAGAAGGAGAAGAAGAAGAAGGTGGGTCGGGGGCAGAAGGCGTCGAAGACGTCGCAGGCACCTTGCCCGCCAAAACATGGTGTCCGAGAAAGACTGCCCTGCATAGAAAAGCTGTTCAGGAATTTCCAACATAATCCCAATGTAGTCGTGACGTTCCTACGTACTTGTAAGCTTAAGAGGGGACTGAAGGAGTGGATTCTCCTTCTATAATTCCATAGTGATGATCCTGCTACTTTCTCCCCAGCTCCCTTTCAGCAGCATTCGGTTACTGGGAAATTGTCCTTGAGTATGATCTTTGCTAGTCTAGGGTCCCTAGAGGATCTTCCTCCAGCTTGCTTTCGAAGCGCGTCAAACCCATACCCAGCCCCCTAGACTGGAAAGGGTGCCGCAGAAGAGTCTAAGCCGTAAAGCCCAGCAGTGTTCCAGGAGGCTTATCAATGTGGGCGCAGTTGTCGGGGACGTGGCGCAGTTCATGTCCCAAGGCCTGGGTTTGCCTGACAAGTTGTTGGTTCCGTTTCATGTAGAGTGACGGTCTATAGTGATTCTGGCTTCGGGTTGCAGGGCTTAGAGTCTATGCAGGGTTTAGGGTGTAGGGTTGGAGTGGGCTTCCAGGTGGGGGTACAGGATTTCAGGCTTGCTGCAGTTTCAGCACACGTTTTAGCACATGGTGCAAAGTTGTATCCCGGCCATGGATGACTATGGGGCCTATGAAGCCTGGCAGGTCTCCCTAAACTTACTAGTGATACTGGTGCGGTATGAGGCAACAGCTTAGGAGGGATAAGCTTGTAGGGACTGGAGCGCTCCCTTCCTCCGTTTCTTACTAGCCCTTGTTCAGGTCTTGATTGGATGGGGTTCGGAGGGGATCTTCAGGCTCAGAGTCTTGGGTTTCGAGTCTCGGTTGTGGGGTTTGGCGGTCTGCAGTTGTTGGGCTTCGGAAGGTCTCGCGTGTGCTGGCACCGCTGCAGAGTTCACATCTACCGGCGACTGGGCTTTGCTTTTCTAGTTTAGGGTTCAGTGCTCAGCCATTAACCCGAAACCCTAGACCTCCCTAAGCCCTTCAGGACTTAAGGATTCAGGAATCTGGGTTGAGGGTCTCGTTAGAGTTCAGCTTGCGTGATGAAACAGGGATTTGTAGGGAGCCTGATACTGTAGGTGTGAAAAAGGGACCCATTCCTGGATTCCCTGCTCACCA